TATTTCAGAAAGACTCAATAAGGTCCTGCTGAAGGAACAAGCTCCCATTATTTAAACACAAGTGCCACCTAGTGATAGGAAGGTGAAACTGCAACACTGTCTTTTCTAGACTGGTATTTTCAAATCTGGTTCAAACACTGATATAATGACTTGGACTCTAACAGGACTTGAACCTGAACATGGATTTATTTTCAGTGTAGATGATGGAGGAGCTGGGTTACATGTGTCTGCAGCTGAGAAACAGTTTTTGAGCCCCACTTTGCTGAAACACACTTAGGTCCAGTAAATGTACCTGCATGATGTTTTGTACAGCAATGAAACAGGTCCCAACACTCAAAGTCATTATACTAAATCAGTATTTAATATACTTTAAATCATAATGTGATTATCTGGGGTTAGGGTTCCCAATCAGCACTCAGGCCTGTAATGTCATAAAATGAGAGACCAATCAAATATTACCTGTCAAATTATACATATATTATAATTTACTATTTCAATGAAAGCACATCTATAAAAAAACTATAATTAAATGCACAAATTAACCGGCTCTGCAATAGCTGATCAATAAATATGATGGCAAAGGAGCAGGTACCTGGGGAGCAACACGTGGGATCTGTAGAGCTCGCCTCACCACCTGAGTTAAGAACTTTAAATATAAACTTTGTTACAGAAACATTGGTGTGATCAACAACACTGATTTGAATAATAAATTAGTTTAGAATGGTTGCACTTGCAAAATATTGTTGATATATTCTACATAACCACTATCCACAAATACACAGCAACAGTAAGTGGTCCCTTGGTTCTATTTAACTTTAAAACTGGTCTGGATGGGGCCGATATGTCCTGGACACAGTACAGTTACAGTTGACATTATCATGTTTTTTATCATTTTAGGATTTTCTTCATAGAGCCTAATAACAAACCTAATAGACGTGTCACAGGTTCAGGTGTTGCCTTGTTGAGTTAATACATCATCCTTTAGGTCAATCTGACCAGTTACAGAACTTTTATCTGACCGAAACGTAGAATCAATACAGAGCAATGTGTTATTTTAGATAGATTACTTTATTCATCCCCAAAGGGAAATTAGGTAATTTTACATAAGACACTGGTATAAAACCAGATTATCTATACATAATATATATAATTTTAGAGACCATATAGAGGTCACATTTTTATTTACTGAATTATTTATTTATCAATATGGGATCCAGAGGCACAATTGCTCAGTATATGTGTGCAGTGGTTATATTCTAATCACCATTGGATTCAGCAAATGAGCATAAATGACTAAATATACAAAAACAGCAGAACTTAGAGAAATAATCAATATTTTGCTCTGTCACATGTGGCGACTGTTTAACTTCTGTCTCTACAGGGATCCCTCACTGGTGGCCCAACATCTTTTTCCTGTTGAAAGGGTTTTTCCTCACTATAGTTGCAGGTTAAGGGCAGAGGATGTTGCACCAGGTTAATATGTGAATATAGGCTATACAAATAAAATGTGTTGACTGTTTGGCAGGATTATTGACAATGCAATGAATGCCCCTTGTGTTATGTTTGTGAAGGCGAAAGACAACTTTACTCTCTTAACTAACTTTCATAAAGGCATCAGGCACATGTCACAATAATGTCCACATTAAATAAAAACAGTTAATATGCATCAAAATGTCTCTGATTTCTATGTTTATTAAAGTTAGATCCACATTCATTTTAGGAACTAGACGCTAAAAAATCTTCAAATACAAAAAGTGCATCTGCAATGCATAACTTTTGCCTCTATTAGGATCACTAACTCCCTCCTCTAATCTCCCAGCATGCATCTTAATCCAACTGTGACTGAGACTCTCTCAACTGATCCTCCAAGTACAATATGTTCCAAACAGACAGAGGTGGATCCATCCCATCATTTTAGATGTGAGGCCCAGACGCCAGAAGATGGAGCCATTTTCCACCAAATGGCCCCAACCTCCCCCCCTCCTCAGTGCTCCAGAGGCATCGACCTCAGGCGTGGAGGCTGCAGGGAGGTGTAAGGACGTTACATGCAGTTTGCCTCCCACTGGGATCTTTTGTCTGGGTGCTTGGAGGCAGCTTGGGCTCACTGGCCCCATTTGCGCCATATGCCACGAAAGGCCTTGCTGTCACATCAGATGAGGACCTCTGTGTGATGGCATAACTGACCGTGCGGCCTTTAAGTGCACATTTACAGTCATTGCACACCATTCATCGCTTTTTAAATGCAGTTTAAAAGGGCGGCTGCGACAAGGTTAAGAAAAGAAGAGTACAACCAGTTTTTTTACTGTACTGTTACAGCATTTACTCATAATGTAATGTAAAGGATGTTCTTTTTAGGATAAATACATATATTATGAATGCCTTTAAAGCAGATTCTAATCACAAATAATGCATCTTGTCTTTCACAGTTTCGTCTGCATTACACGTTGATTTTATACTTTTCATTAAAGCATTTTCTATATTAAAACTCCTCATGAATGGTCAGATTGCTGAGTTGAGGCACGAGTGAACAGCTAGAAATCTTATCTTGGAAATAAGATTTATTATTATTATTATTATTATTATAACAGCCTTTGCATATCTTTGACCTGGGATTCTGCTGCCTGCCATTGACACAATATTAATTAAATGTACAGTTTTATGTTTTGCTGTAAACCACATCATCTATCATGTAGAAATTTCAGTCGGCCCAAACAGGAGCCCTTAAAATGTGTCCATTAACCCCAACAATTTTAAATTTACTGGCTAGGAGTGCATTCATATTTGTGGGCAGACGATAAAAAGCACTCATCATAACTATAAACCTTTTCACTTCAGATCTGTGTCATTGAATAGTTCAAGAGTAATCTGAACATATCTCCCCAAGATCTGCACACATGCATTGTGCAGCATCACAACATAAGCAACACATTTTCTGGCAAAGCGTTCGCCATCGATTTCGGTCTGCTGTTTCCACAAGTATACAACATTGTATTCAATCTATGGGATGACTGAGGCCTTGCTGTCTCCTACCATCACAATGATTTTCTGTATGAATGGCTCATTTTTCCTCTGTGATTCAGCCACAACAACAACGATGGTTCAAATGAAGCTTATAATTTAATTAAACGTATAATAAGGACAATCAAGTTAATTAAGAACGTATTATCATATTTGGCCCACAGAATACAGACAGGTTTCACCATCAGCACATCAGTTATTCAATCCAACACGGAGACCATCACCATCAGCACAGAGTTAATAACTTCATTCATTTACTAGCCATTAGTCGCACGATTGTTTACATGCAGATTGTTTAATGTAGCAAACAAAGCAATTAGCTTGAGAGGCTATTCGAAGACACATACGGTGGCTAACTAGCCTGCTAGCTACAACGCTAGTTTTCCAGATCAACTGACGTATGTTCCCTCTCGTGCTGTTTATATGTGTCAGTTGATGAAATCGTTAAAATGTTGACAGGTGAGATGTTTGCTTCGGAAGCTTTTGTGTGAGCTGCCGGAATCCAGAGGAAACCCAGTTAGCATAATTAGCAGTGTTAATACGGGACAGAAATCTGACACGCTAATGTCAGGCTCGGGTAAAGCTAGCGTCCACAGCACGCACCCCGGGAATAATCACTCAAAATACGAGTAAGCGTGGCTGGTCATCAGCTACAAGTCCCCGTTAACGCTGAGATGTCTCCCGGTAAGTGGATTAACACAAAGTGCTCGGAGCCGAGTTAGCTGACGCCTGCTAAGCTAACAGAGCTAGCTAGCGCACCACCGACTCGTTAGCCCAGAATTCGGTTGACGGATGCGGAGCCCGAACAGGCGTGAGGTGAACTCCGGTGTGCCGCAGTTTGTTTGCAGGAGATCGGATCACTTTGAGGGGAACCACACGCAGGGACGCGCACTTTTCCGCTGTCTCGAGTCAAATCCTCAAAATGGGGTCTGCTAACGTACGTCTCCGCCATTTTGTGACAGGTTTTTCATTGTGCAAAGGGGTACGTGTAATGGTTGAATGTAACCCCATCAAGAAGATATCCGCCTGGCAGTTGGAGGGAGAAGGGATCTGGAGTAATTTTCAACCATCCCGGGAGATTAGAGTCTGAGGTGGTCAGCAGGGGACAGGGGCGGCGAGACATCGTGTGTAAAAGTTCCCACCAACAAATCACTCTAAAATAGAATCATCTGCAGTGATCATTTGTGGAAAAAAAGCCAAAACTCTGACATCTAACAATCCAAATAGATTATTTAAAGGAACGTTACAACAGTATGAGATTATGCATTTTGAAATGACATATTTATTTATTGATATTCCATCAAAATAAACAACATTGCAGCTCCCATCTGTCAAATTAAGCCACATCAAGTGTAATATAATATAATATGAGTTGTACAGGGGTGGAAATACTAAAATCCTCTAATGCAATGTTGATCAGTCTGACATGACACACAAAGATGTCATAAATGATTTAAATGAGTCACAACAAATACATTTTGGACAAAATATGGAAGTTATAACGCATAAGGTCATCAATGAAAGAATATTATCGCAGAAATGTGAATGAATGTCAAAATGTACTCAGTGTTCCTGTAAACACTTGTGGATTAGTTTGCTAGATTGTACATAAAATATAATAATAATGAGGCACATTGCCTTCAGTTAAATTATTTCAGAAACATGTGCATAAATGTCCAAATATATGTCGAGTCAAACACTGGTTTATTCATCTGCCGTCATAAAATTTGAGATAAAATATGAAAGTCATTTGGATTACAGCCATCAATGCTAGAAGTGTTTTTTTCATTAATATTAATAAGTGTGAAAATGTACTCAATGTAGCTGCAAACACTTTGGCACTTTAGTCTGCTCATATAATATTTTGGATGAAATATAAAAGTCATTAGGCATATGGCCATCAATGCAAGAAAAAATAAATTCAGACCCGTGCATCGATGTCAAAATAATTTAGATGTAATTGCAAACACTTTGGCGCAAGTTCAAAAGAATATGGCTATCAATGTAAGACAATTATATTTAGAAATCTGAATGAATGTCAGAGTTTTTCCAACGTAACTGTAAACACTTTGCTGCATTATTCTGTAGATGTTAATAACGAAGAGCTGATGGCTGCCAGTCGACAATAATTACTGGTTTTTACAGATGTTCTCATGTTGTATGATTGGGAATTTTAAAAATTATATGTATTACTTTCTGCAGTGGCTGCAACTGGGATTATTTTTCCTTCATTATGAACTTGTAACAAAGTGACTATAGTTTGTAATGGTCAATATCAGTGAGGTAAGAGCCCAATTTTCAATGCAGCTTTAAATTTCCTCAGGGTTCATGTCAGCCTGTAAAATAATGTTTTTTTTCCCACTAAATAGACATGTCCTCCATTGCATGGCCTTTTTTTTTGGGTGGGGGGGTTAACAAGAAGGCTATGTTAATTAGTGTTATCCCCTCCCCCCACGGGACATTCTGCCAGTACCTCCTGACCCGTTTTCCAAACACAGAGGCGAGTTGTCAGACGGTCCCTAAAAAAGAAAACAGTCTCTATTGTTCCAACACCCGCTGCGCTCTGGACTGCTGCGGTGCCGCCGGTGGCCGCAGAGGGCGCTGCACGCATGGCAGGCCGGGCTGCGCGGCCTCCACATCTTTTTGTCTGAGAACTGGATCCTCCGCCGCTCCACAGTGTGCGCGATAGCCTCGGAGCCGCGTCCGCAACACACTGTCAAACCAGTCCGAACGAAAACCACCGCGACCGAAAGCATTAATTCACCACCGTCCGTCATGGCGTTCCTCGTCTGCCGGTAAATCGCTCGTATTTGCGACTGCTCGCTGGAACTTAGTCCGGGCTTGAATCGGGCTGGCTCTCTGTGTGCATCAGTCTTTATTAGCGAGCTGCCGCTCTTCTTGCTATCAGCTATTTCTTTAACTTTTTAAACACTCAGCTTCGCGAATGACTGAGCGCCGGCGGAGTATGGGATCCTTGGTGTCTTAAGAAGCGACTGAAGTGGGCTTTAACCGTTTTTGCATGCAAAAACAATGGCAAATTCGACGGGGAAAAATCTACTAGATCAGCGGAGAAAAGGACAGGCTTTCCTGGACGAGCTGCGGCAATTCCACCAGAGCAGAGGGTGAGCTCGGGGTTGTCTTTATTCCCCAGAAATATAACTTTAAATCCTAATCGCCCGCCACTGCGAGCGAGCCAAAGCTGTTATTTCAACATATGTGCGTGTATTTCTTGTGTTTTCCACGCAGATCGCCGTTCAAGAAGATTCCTATCGTGGGTGGGAAAGAGCTGGACCTGAATGCTCTCTATGTCAGAGTCGTCTCTTTAGGTGGATTTGCTAAGGTGAGTGGGAACTAAAAGTGGGTTTTTTCTCCACACTCCGCCGTCCGTGGACTCCTCGGTGGACCGCTCCACAACTCCGTGTGTGCAACCCGGGGCAAGTGGAGCCCTCCGGGAAGGAACACGTTAGTGGCTCGGTGTTGGCCTTGTGCTAGTTTGCCGTGTATCTCTATGCAATGTGGTGGCTTGTGTTGTTGTGCGGTTTGAATCGGGAGTCTCGACCGCCTCGCAGCCAGAGTGCAGTTGGAGCGACTCAAAATTAGCGGGCACGTTTAACATCGATTATCGGCACGGAGCCCGGCCTCGGAAAACACCGCACGGCACACGGCGCGTCGCCCCGGGCTTTTACCGGCAGTTTGCAGCCAGAGGGGGGGAAGCTTGGCTTTTTCTTTCTCGCCATAGCCATCTTTCTTCGGCTTCATGGCTGATCTCAAAATGTAGGCCTCACAGGCCCGTGTAGTGAACACAGTAAACGGCAACCAAAACCATACTCTCACACCAAGCGCTCGCCCCAAGCCCAAGCGTTTTTCCCACGGACACACTTTGTTAAGAGTTTAGCCTCGTTAGCATTTCACGCCAAAATGAAAAAGTGAAGTTAGCCTGTTAGCTTTGGTGCTAACTCCCCTCAACTGTAACGATTGTATCTTAAAGGCAGCTGTGCTCAACTGATGTATCTAATGTACATATGTTCGCTTAATAAACACGCTAGCGGCTAATTAAATGCTATTTGGCTGAATTGCCGGGCGGTGCAGTTTCGCCACATTTGGCATTTTTAAATGTTTCCAGCAGTTTGAGAAAGTTATTGATTGGTGATATTGTCTCGATGAGGGGGGAGAGCCTGTAGCAGAACAGATGGTTGCAGTGTAACCGCTCTTTTTTTGTGTGTTGCCGGTGTTTTGTTTATTTTCTCTTGCTCCCCCTGTAACACACTCATTTCCTCCTTCCAGGTCTCGGACAAAAACCAATGGATTGAACTCGGAGAAGAGTTTAACTTCCCCAGGAGTTGTTCCAACGCTGCATTCGCTTTAAAACAGTACTACCTTCGGTAAGTAGCGCGGCCACGCAGCTCCCATCCTCCCAGGTACCATGTGGGAAGTGTTTACAAATGTGAAGATGCAGCAGGACCCAGGCTCTCGCTCTCTTCTGCTAGTGAGCTGCACTAGTACAATAATGTTGCAGGCAATGCAAGGTCTTTATTGTGTATATTTGCCACAGATTGGCAGCTATAAACTCACTTATCTCTGCCACATTAAATGAGCACTTTGCTCTGTCTGTTTTAACAGAAACTTGTGGCCAAATGTCTCCGATATTTTTTCTAATCTGAAACATAGTTTTGCAGAACACAGCCATGGAGTGACTTTTGTCAGTAATGGCTCTCAACTATAAACTGCTGCTGTTTATTCCTCTCTGTGCTGCAGCCACAGGGCGTTTGGGTTTGATATAGAGCTAATGATTGAGATCTGGGTGTTGTAACGAGTTTTTTGCGTGCAGCGTCCAAATGTAAATGCAGTCAGCTGCCAGTGATGGGAGCCTGGTGCACACACAGCTCTCCCCAACAGCTGGCATTTGTGGTTTCACTGTTGCGGCTCTCCCCACGCTCCCCCTTTTCTTCCCGCGCCACCTCGTGCAACGATTGCACCCATCAGCAGCACCTGCCTGCAGGGGATTACACCTCTGTAGCAGAGAAATGCTCGTAGCCGCTCGTAGCCTCTCATAGATAGTTGAGGGCCAACTGCAGGTCACTGGTTTATAACGCAAGCAGAGCCTAATTATGTGTGCATTTATACCAAGTTTGCCCTTCATGGAAGGCAGGTGCTCACAAGCTGCAAGCGTAGCAGCCAATTTGATTACTACCAGTACACATCTCACGAGACCTGTAGCTCCTCAAAAGTTCACCTGTAACCATCAGTGCTGATGGCAGAGGAGAAACACCTCAGGCACATGTGGGCTTGCATTGCAGTTCTAATTAACTTATTGCATTTGTGTTCTCTGATTTACCCAGAAAATACTATTATCCTATTATATATTTAGTGTAAATGACTGACTACATTAGAAAGCATTTTTTAGACATCTGCCAGGATGATAGAGGCTTGTACTTGCGGTTGAAGCTCCTCTGGAACAAAGGTGTTTTTTATGATCCGATTAATGAGGGAACCTACCCTCATAGGCTCCATGAAACACAACACTCAGAGGTATGTTTCTGTCTTTGTTTAACCGGCTTAGTTTTTGAGTGTGCATCAAGTGCTTGTCGCAGAAAGTCAACAGACTGAGCTTCTAAAAGATTTGTTCTTAGGAGGACACAATTAGGCCAACTAATGTTTCCATTATCTTGTGTAAGACAGCAGTTTATAAATACCAGCAGGATGATACCTTGTTGGGCAAATGACAAAATGTGGCAGAAAATCATGTAGAGCCATTAACATCATGTCTGCTGGAGATTTTTTCTTTTTAAATATTCACCAGTGTTACTTAGAGCAGCTAAGTGATTTTTGACTCTTACCTTTTTAAAAAAAACTTGGGGAAGGTGGGTGAGCAGAGGAGGCCTGACATGCTGAATATCGCACTTGTCTCGCAGCAGCCTTCGGAGCTGCTGTGAAAAGTTTATCTAAGGCAGCTCGGTGCAGTGGATGTCAGCGGTCTTGCCTTGAACAAGGCTGATAATAAGAGGCTATTCTCGCCTCCTCCATGCTGCCTTTTTTTTTTTGCTGACATGAGCGTGTGCGATAGAGAAATTAATTGTTTGGGTTTTGTTTCCTCTCTTTGTGACCGGTTTTGTCGTGCAAAATTGGACAAGCTATGTCATCGCTGTGGGAGGAATTTGTTTGCACTCATCCAGCAAGTTCAGGGGTCACAGCCAGTTACACAGTAGATATGTACTCACTCTGGAGTTAGTTCATATTCAGTGTCCCTCTCAAGGACACTTAGGCTGGATGGAAGTTTGCTGATATCAGTTGTTAATCCTGACCACCTTTAACCACTGGCTGCTCATGAATT